TTAAATGGGAATCGTCACTAACCAGAATTTATAACATTATATTTTCTTATCTCCTATATTTAACATGGATATTTGTATTTGTCCCAAAAATAAAATTAAATGTATTAATCGACACATCTATCCTGGAACTGGGCGCCTCCATCTAGGCTCCCTGTGAGTCACTGTTATGCTCTGCAGTTAGCATACAGAGAGGAGGAAAAAGAGAAACAAAGTGCTGTGTTCTAAAAAGAGGTGCAACATTCTGCAGCCCATTGTCAATGATGCCACTGTACTTATAGTTCCGCTCCGCCTTTAAATATCTCAATGTTGGCATGCAGTCAATGTGCTGTGTACCCTGCCATCCCAAGATCGGACACAAGATGAAATTCCCTATAAGCGCATGGGGCATCATTGACAGTTCTCCAGCTGTGTCAGATCACAAAGCAAGCTCTGATGTTTTCTTATTGGTACAAAAGATTCTTATCTAACTCCATGTTCTATAGCAGGGATTGGCAATTATTTACAAAGAACATAAAAGCGGTAGAACATTAAAAGATCCCTGATGGTGACTTTGTCACTGGGAGACCAGTGGTCAGGGGCAGGGAAAGTTGATTTTTACTTACCTGAACCTGTCCCTCGCGGGCGACGCCATCTTCCTCCAGTAGCTCCACCTAGTGTCTACGAAAGTCAGGCGTTGTATAAACCATAAGAGAAAGTAGTCCCTGCTTTGTCTTATGTTTTTAGTTAGAAATAGATTAAAAATGAAAAAAAGAAAGATATAAGGAAAGAGGAAGAGTACAGGATTTTTTTTAAGAGTTGCTGAAACAGTTAATCTCCCACAAAATAAGGACGTCTGCGAAACGCTCTTATTATCTAAACATTGAAACTCCGGCTTATTTGTTACTTGTTCTGCATTTAAATTCCTCTTAAATATGCAGCACTTAAAAATAAAAAAAATTTAAAAATCTTGGCACGTACCTACAGAGCAGAAAAGTAAAAAAAAAAAAGTAGCAAAGATTTGGCAATGAATCTACGCACACACCTACCCTATGCCAAAGAATGACAGCTTAAAAGACATTGTAGAATATTATTCTTAGTGACTATTGGAGCAGAAACATCATCAAGAAGAAATTGCTGATAAAAGCAGCTAAAAAAAATAATAATATACAAACAAAATTATAATCACATCGATTCACCCAGTCTCATTTATTAGGGTCATTTTAATCATGGGTAATTGCAGTGCTATCAATTATTCCTGCTTTCTGCCATTGTGAGTTACGCCATTTACACTTATACAGAATGTAACCGCATGAAGTGTAATGAATGAGTATAATCTAAAATGAATAAGGCCCACAACATGATCTTTCTACACACGTTCGTTTCATTCTTTTCAATGTCAGAACAAACACTTAGCAAGGGGAAAAAAAATTGCAGAAAATAATAGTTCTTTATAACAGTGACATTCACGCTTAATGCTCAAGATTCCGTTCCTGACGAACACATGGCTGGAACAAAGGGCGCTACTTTACAGCATTTCTTTTTATTTATTTATTTTCTCATAATTATTTTAAGTAATCGTTAACTTCAAAAGTTGTGTTTGTTTCCTTTGGTTTTTTATTTCTTAGCTTTGAATCATTGATGAGATAGTATTTAAAAGTAAATGAACGCATAAATACAATAAAATAATAATGCATATCGAACCTTAAGAATAGCTTTACATCATGGGACATGAACACAACACATATTTGCAGTATACGTACATATGCAAGAAAGCTATTTTATGTTACTAGCATACTTCTCAACATCAAGAGGTGTTAAATCAGGACAAAAAGGGAGGCAATCAGTGGTGTAATACCTCTCATGAGTATTGTGTGGAGGAGGGTAGTCTAAAAAAGGGACTGTCTGCCTGGAACTCTGCCACATATATATATATATATATATATATACACATATATATATATATATATATATATATGTATTCATATTCAACTTTAGATTTTTATTTTTTTTTGCTTAACAAAAATAGCATAAACTGTATTTGAAACATTAAAGGGATTCTATATGCCAGGAAAACAAAGCCATTATCCTGGTACTATAGAATCCTACAGTGACGGCAGATAAGAACCATTTGGCCCATCTAGTCTGCCCAAATATATACACACACACACACAGATACACACTGTAGTGTCAAGGTGTGTATATCTGTGTGTCAGGTTGTGTGTATTTTTGTGCCACTATGTACATACACACTGACACATACAAACTCAGATACACACACCTTGACACACAGACACAGACACCCACCGGCACATACAAGCACAGATATACACACACATACATACACACTGTGTGTCAAGGTGTGTGCATCTGTGTTTTAAGGTGTGTGTATCTGTGTGTCAGTGTGTGTATCTGTGGGCCACTATGTGCAAGTGTGTGTATCTGTGTGTCAGATACATACACACACACACACACAGATACACACTGGCACACAGATACACTTACACTGGCAAATACAAACACAGATACACACACCTTGACACACAGACACACACTAGCGCATACAAAAAAGGCTAATGCAACGGCGCAAAATAGTTTTTTGGGGAGGGTTCCACAATGTTGATGCACTATGTCAAAGGGTTCTACGGGAAAAATGAATTGGGAACCCCTGCTTTAGAGTATAGATGGTGCAGAAGAGAAAATTGACAGAATAGACATCTGTTATTAAATTTGCACAAGTATGCATGCTTTTAAGAGGTAATTGGTCAATGATGTGTGTGCATGCTTGTCCTTTTCCTAAACTTCACTCTAATTTCACTAGAAAGCATATTTTAAAGTTGAATATAAATATCTGCTTTTTTCCAGTTCTATAAGGGAACAGCCAATATAATACGATGACACCATTAATATTATATTATGTAATACTATAAATATAAACAGCACCGACCATGTGATCGTTGTTGTAATTGTGAACAAGAAGGCTGGAACATAACATGATTTGACATTTTGTTACAGATTTGTTTATGTTCATATCAGCCCTCCAATGAAATCCTCACACTGCATTTACATGTGATAATCTTACAAGGTCTGTGCCATTAAAGCACATGGTACCTTCTTCTGACATCAAGTGATACATCATCTTATCAAATGAGTGCATAATGTGATTTGTAATGTATGTGTTATTGGAGAGGATTTAAATGTTCATCATTTTTATTATGCTGAAGATTTATTAGACGCTGCAGATCCCAGTCTGAGTCCTTATGGATTCCTTTCATAAAGTAATTTATTTGTCTCTAATAAATACAACTTCCTACTTCAGACAAACTGAGAAACAAATCAGTATTGTCTCTACAACGTATTATAAAACCTTTTAATAGTTAAAGCACACTATAGTCACCAAAAAAACAACTTAATGTAGTCAGTCCCTGTAGGCTTTTTGCAGTAAACACTGTATTTTCAGGCAAAATGCAGTATTTACGTTAAAGCCTAAGGACACCTTCAGTAGCCACTCCGCAGATGGCTCCTAGAGGTGCTTCCTGGGACAGTGCTGCACAGTGTGACTGACATTCAGTATCTCTACCCTCTGCATGGAGACACTAAACCTTCCTCATAGAGATGCACTGATTCAATGCATCTCTATGAGGAGATGCTGATTGGCCAGGGCTGTGTTTGGCTTGTGTTAGCTCTGCCCCTGATCCGCCTCCTTGACAATCTCAGGCAATCCAATACATTCCTATAGGAAAGTATTGGATTGGCTGAGATTACCACTTATGATGATGTCAGACAAGGAGGCAGATTAGGGGCAGAGCCAGCACACTGGAATAAAGTAAGATTTTATTATATTAAGGGGGCTAGATAGACACAGGTGAGAAGAGGAACCCAGACACAGGAGAGAAGAGGGGTCCAGACACAGAAGAGGAGAGGAACCTAGACACAGGAGAGAAGAGGGGCCCAAACACAGTTGAGAAGAGGGGTCAGGCACAAGAGAGAATAGGGGCCCAGACACAGGAGAGAATAGGGGCCCAGATACAGGAGAGAAGAGGGGCCCAGACACAGGAGAGAAGAGGGGCCAGGCACAGGAGAGAATAGGGGCCCAGACACAGGAGAGGAACCCAGACACAGGAGAGAAGAGGCACAGGAGAGAATAGGAGCCAAGGCACAGGAGAGAAGAGGGGCCCAGACACAGGAAAGAAGAGGGGTCCAGGCACAGGAGAGGAACCCAGACATGAGAGATGAGAGGGGCACAGGGGATGAGAAGAACCCAGACACAGGAGGGGAGAAGGACACAAGAGAGAAAACCCATACAGGAGAGGAGAGGAACCTAGACACAGGAGAGAAGAGGGGCCAGACACAGTTGAGAAGAGGGGCCAGGCACAAGAGAGAATAGGGGCCCAGACACAGGAGAGAATAGGGGCCCAGACACAGGAGAGAAGAGGGGCCCAGACACAGGAGAGAAGAGGGGCCAGGCACAGGAGAGAATAGGGGCCCAGACACAGGAGAGGAACCCAGACACAGGAGAGAAGAGGAGCCAAGGCACAGGAGAGAAGAGGGGCCCAGACACAAGAGAGAAGAGGGGTCCAGGCACAGGAGAGGAACCCAGACATGAGAGAGGAGAGGGACACAGGGGAGGAGAAGAACCCAGACACAGGAGGGGAGAAGGACACAAGAGAGAAAACCCAGACAGAGGAAGGGAACCCAGACACAGGAGAGGAGAGGAACACCGGAGAGGAACCCAGACATAGGGATCCAGACATAAGGGAAAAAAGGGCCCAGACACAAGAAAGAAGGGGGACAAAGACACAGGAGACAAGAGGGACCCAGACACAAGAGAAGAGGGACCCAGAGACAGAAGAGGGACACAGAGACAGGAGAGGGACCCAAAGACAGGAGAGGGACCCAGACACAGGAGGGGAGAAGAAACCAGATCCAGACAAGAGAACCCGACACAAGTGAGGAGAAAGAAGTAGACCAAAACACATGAAGGGAAATAAACCCACATGTAGGAAAGGAGGAGGAACACAGACTCATGAGAGGAGAGTGACAAGAATGAGACACAGGAGAAGAGGGGAACCAATCCGAGGCAAGAGAGAGGAGAGGAAGCTAGATCCAGACAGAGCAGGGCTGAGATGGGAAGATACTGGAGCCACACACACAGGAGACAATAGGATTGGAAGAATGAAGGGAGGCAGATACTGAATCTACACACAGTAGAGCAGACAATAGGAGGGAAAGAGACTAGACATGGGAGAAGAGAGTACAGACCCATGCATAGAAGAGGAGAGAACAGCCCAAAGCATTGTAAGGGAAAGTGTAGAATGTAAGTTATTAGACCAAACAAACAAAAGAGGAATAGGGTAAAATTAACACTGGAAAGGTGGAAGGAAAGAGTGCCAATTCCCAACATGGGGAGGAGAGAAGTAATAAAATATATACCAGGTCACTTCAGGGCCTTGGGACACCTCTTGCTTACTGCACAACCTTCTAATTCCTTCGGCTCCTTGCAGAGCCTTCTCATTTCCAAAGTCCCACGGAGAGACATCATGCTTAATGTCCCCTGTAGACCCTCATTACTCCTAATTGTTTTTCCTGCAGAGTTTAAAGAACTTTCCAGTGAAGTTTTCATTCCTACGTAACTAATATGTGCAAATATTAAGAGATTGCTCCCAGAATGCCTTGCCTAAAAAAAGTAATATCATAAAATGTAATGAAAACAAACCAAATATGCATTGTTTTAATTATTGTGCAGAAAATATAACAGAATGACTATAAATAATTTGGGCCAGGGTTAGACAAATTTAAGGCATCAGCCTTAACAAATCATCCAACCTGCAGGGGTTAAAACCCAGTAGGAAGCTTAGTCTGTAGAACTACATGTATTGGAGATAAACGGAGGCTGAATGAAAAGTCTCAGCGTTTAGTACAGAGAAGCCTGTGTTAGAATTGCTGCATTCACCGTCAGTACCATGGACAGCTCTCAATTGCAATACATGTAATACCCAAGAGATGACAGCAGGGGGCAACGTCACTCAACCACTGAGTTTGGATGTGCACCATGAGAAACATAGTTCCCGAACCTATGCAGTTATTTAGCCATCACTGTTCCACACAGAAGAGTTTACTATGTTTAATTTATTTATTTGGGAGGGGACTGAGTAACTGTTATACCACCTGCAAAGTCACAAGACAATATATGTAGAGAAGCTTCTCTCCATTTTAGATAGCCAATTATATTGTCAAAAAAATATAATCTCCCCTTTAATTATAGAATTCCTCCTTTATTCCAGCAATAGCACGTTCTTCTAAAAATATCTTAGAACCTGCACTGGCCAAAAACTGAATTTTATTCTAAAAAATAGAATAATTGATAACTGGTTTAGAATCTTCTGTAACGTGGCCTAGCTGTATCTCAGATAGAATAGGATAAGGTTTAGAGCAGCTTTCTCCCATGAAAGGAATTTCTTATTTGCAATATCTGTATTCAGATTGTATTTTGTGCCATTACATTTCATAGTGAGGGGTTTATTATTTCAGATGACATATGTATATACACACAGCACTTGGTGTTTCTGTTTGATATGAACCTCACAGCCAAAGAAAATTACAGGTACATTAAGCTGTTGCAGTCGGGTGTCTGGAAGTCATGCTCTGGGGGTAGATAGTTATATAAAGGGAATTCAAGTTTTGGTAAATGGCTAATCTATTATTACTTTCTGTATGTATCATAATACTGATGGAATCCAGTTCATGAATAAAACTCGAAAACCATTTTTTTACTTACCTAACCCCAGTGCCGATGTCCCTCGGTGCTGGGTCACGGCTCTACCACCTCTGACGTACCGCAACAAGCGGGCGCCAGTGCGAATGCATGGTGGAAGAGGTCCTTACCTTTGTACACTGATTACAAATTATAGATTCACATCCATCCTGCTGTGCGGGAAGCTGATAAATTATTAATGCTGCCATGGTGACTGATCGGGAAAGTACATTTTTCTATTTTTGACAACAATTTGCACACAATGGCAACTAAAATATAATTGCTATTTTTATTCATTTTGCAGCTTAAAATAATCCTTGACTTTAATATGACACTCCAAGCTTGAGTTACCACACACATTTGTTAAAGGTTCACTCCAACCATCATAAACACTACAGCCTGCGGTAGTGGTTATGATGCTAGAAGTAGTATGGCGCTATTGCCCGGTTATTGGCCAAACCGTTTTGCAATGGTTTGCCCTCTTAGCTCGGTCCCTGCCGTGTCTCAGGTTTAGTCTGTAGATAGGTTTGCAACATTCGGCTTCTGCAGAGTTCCACAAGGTGGATTTGTCCACTGTCTGCTCTGAGCAAATGAATGTGTCTGCACAGAAATCTGCTCAGAATTGACATTAGCCAGCCCGGGACTCACACACTGGCTAATGACTCCCCAATGCTGCTGCCAGAGCTGGAGTTACAACTTCAGCAGAAACAAGGTTTAAACTCCATATGTGGAGAATTTCATAATGAAATGATGCACCACGACCACTTCAAATCTCTACAGTGGTCATGGCGATTGGAGTAACTCTTTAATGTGTTATGCAGCTAATGCACTCTCTGCCTTTTTAGATACCAATCACAATTTGTTAGAGGAAGGGGCTGATTCCCAAGCAGCCACTGTCAACAGTATTTAATTCCCAGCTTTACTTGGTCTGGAGAATAAATAAATGCCTTTAGTTGCTGTCAGGAAGATAGACACTAGAGATGGATTTAACACTTCCACGTAAACATGCTGTTTGTAAGAAACTCCAATGTTTTACATTACAGGGTTAACATGACAGGACTGCACACCAAGATCACTTCATTGAGATAAAGTGGTCTGGGTGACTATAGTGTCCCTGTAAAAAAATATTCCCTTCAAAAACATTGGAGGTTATTGACTAAAGACAGAATTGCAGTAAATTGTCAACTAAATCACAAGATTTAGGCTAAAATAGCTCGTATAAATATATCTGCCTTGGGGATTTTTTTTTTCCAAATCAGCTATTTAGGTCTAAATTTTGTAATTTGTTTTTTAATTCACCGTATGATGGTATTTAGTGCATAAATCCCTTTTTGTTTCTCCACAAACTCAACGTGAATAAAAGTTCTTGTGGAAAAATGTGCGGATAATTAAATGATGCATTTGACTGTGTCTGTAGGATTGATTTGATAAAGCATCAAACTGACCTAACATGCAAATGAGCTAGCATCAACACTGTATTTGCATACAAGGTCTGACTGCAGTTATTGTTAAGGGAGTGAGGCGTCTCACAATTACATTTTCATCTTGTTTTACAGCTATTTTGCAAGGACCATATCTAAATTTGGGATTTGTTTCATTCCGGTCTAAAAGCAGAGACAGCCATGTGGAAAGGACTGAGCTCTGAATGTGGAGCGGACGTACAATTTATCAAAATATAAGTGATTTATTAAATTCCACAGCTCCTAACGCTAATTAGAAGACTGCTTGATGTGAATGATATAATGTCATTTGAGTCTTCGTAGTTGGGTACATTGGCATTTCTAAGACAGACACATAGCATGCAGCCATGATAGTCCTTACATGAAAAAGAAAGGAGAGGAATAGAAAACGTTGAAAAACCTTCCACTGGTTCTCCAGCTCCTCGCAGATTAGATCCGACAGCATGGGGGGCGGGAGGGGGAGCTGCGCAAGAAAGACTTGTTTCACAATCATCAATACAAATATTGTGAAATAGTGTTTGTCATCGGTAAACAGTAAGCACGTTAGCGTGGTTTTTCTAATGGATGATTTTAGATTTCAGTACGTTAAGCTTTTGTAAATCTCTATTAAATAGCTTTTTTATGAAGCAGGACTCCAGTTTCCATGGTGACGGCAGGTCGTAATTTGCTGAGAATGAAAGACCTCTCGAACTTCTCCTTCGGCAGATTTCATAGTGATGTGGACCTTTTTTTCTCTCTCTCTCTCCTTTAAATACCGGTTCATCTTCTATTAGCAAACTTAGATTCCTATAAGCCTTTGCCTGTGGCTGAGAAAAGGTTAATAGGAGTTGTAGTTTGACAACAGATGGAGGTTCAATTATTTGAATGATTCTGTTTTATACAATAACCTTCAGAAAATCATTGCTGGCTGCCAAAATATATTCATCTTCCATAATGTAAGATCACAACTTAGCGGTCATTATTGTACCCAAGGCCGGTGTTTTATACAATTTATACACGTGGAAGCTAGTTTAGAATGGAGTACGTTGCATTTCGTATATTGTATCTATTGATCTAAGCAGGACTCTGAGATATGCATGTTCTGTGGGCACAGTGTTTTTACTCGATATATCTATATTTATTTATGGATTCTGCACACAAAGACATGTCAGACAGGTCGATTTACTAGGCCATCTAAATAGCCATATTACTGCTGAACCCAGTTATGCAAAATACAGTTAAGGATTTGGTATTTATTTGAGATAGACTATTACTTGAATGGTAGCTGGTGCACTTAATGTTTTACTTAGATTGGGGTTGCGGGTTGTGTGTTGGATTTTTGTATGGTGTCAATGTTTTTTTAGGCTGGAGATTGGTAGTAATGTAGAAGGATTGTATTCTTAAGTATTAGGGAATTGTAATAAGTCTAAACTTGGAAGCTTACGCTGGAAGTAAATTTTGATATAGTATTTTATAGATCACTGCTGCATTTCTGTTCAGAGACCAACTGTGTTTCATTCCTTGTGCGTACATGGTACAGTGACTATAAAGTTGAATCTGAAGATCTCTGATATACTAACACGGCTCGCAGGCTGGATTCTGAGCGGAACCGATCGATTTCCCTACGATATGACAACCCGAGAGAAATAGCCGGCGTAAGTTTGTCAATAACAGAACAATAACACTATGTCATTTTATGTAGTTAAAAAAAAAAGGCATCATAAGGTCTGAGATCCCAGTGTGTTTTCTGGGCCCCACGACAAAAATATATGTCCCCCCCCCTTTTATGGGCCCAGGAAGTAAATATCTATACAAATAAGACTTTTTCGTCAGAGTTATACGATTGGTTGGCATCCAATCACTAACATGATTAACTCCTCAGGGACCAGGAAAGTAGGCATTTCACTTTTATGGGGGGGAGGGTGGGTCACAAATATATTTTTTATTACAGGGCTTTATTTGGTACCACAGTGGAGAGAGTGCCACGTTACTCTGCTCTCCCCCACAGCCCTAGAAGGGTCAACAATACTGGCATATGATGCCTAGTAAAACCTAGGGAAACATCTATGCATTTAAAATGTTTTGGATCTGTGAAACCACAACACTATTTAAAGGACCACTTAGCACACCTAAAGCAATCCACGTTCTTTATGTGTCCACTATTTAATTTTACAAAAAGTGCAGATTTCAAAAGAAATTGGAGCTTTTATAAATGAACCTTGTTACACCTCCTTGGCTGTCAATCAGATTACCAGATAACCTTGTTTGTCTAACGCAGTGCAGCATTGGACTCTAGTAAACAGAGCTGAAATCTTTTAAATTTGTTTTGAAAAGATCCTTCATACCATTTTTAATTATTTACTAACTGCTGCATAAAAAAAAAAAAAAAGACTGCTTTATCCACAAATACATTTTGATGTATATGCACGAGAGGCAGCTGAATGTTCTTCTACATGCGGGATATAAATAAAGCAAAATCTATTAGTGTTTAGAGTCAACAAAAAAAGAAAAAGAAAAAGATTGTTGGTTTTATTGCACATTTGTTATCATATGGCAAAATATATATTTTAAAGGGAAAACGTCTCTTGCCAGAATTCATAATGATTTTGACATTTGATATTGCTAACTTACCCTTAAAAAACAGAAACAGCACCAGCTGACTAATAGCACCATCACCACTTATATATCTATCTATATAGGATTCATTTTGCCCCAATCCTATTTTCTGTGGCCAGTTTAATGCTAGCCTAGTAGTCACATGACATATGAACAGCGCACTGCTGAGATGAACATCTTCAACGCCAACACAAAGCTTGTACACAATTATGCAATGCTCTATGTGTTTAAAACTTTTAAGAAAATAAAATCAGGTAAATGTTCTCAATGGTTTATTCATTAAAGTAAAAATTCTAAGTGAATTTCAAATTTAAGGCCAAAATAGCCAAACTGAAAGAATAGCTGACTTATGGAATGTTTCCAGATCGGCTAGCTTGACCTTAATTCTGAAATTCACTTTGTTAAATAATTCTGTCAGTGACAGAATTTACATGAAAAACGCAAAACATTTAACACAATCTTTGTTGTTGCTTTTAAGAATGTCACAGTACACGGATCCCATCCTTTCTCATTAGCCTGAAACACTCCAGAAATATCCCCCGACTCTACCAAGAGGAGAAATTGATTCTCTAAGGCAAGAAAATGGGCTTGGTATTGGTTTGACCTATAAAATGCAGCCACCAAAGCGTGGGTGGGTGCATCCATGAATTAGACTATCAGAACACAGAATACGATGAAATCAACAATACCACAACCCCCAGAGACCCCCCCACATCTTTCATACTCGTAACCCCCTTTAAAAATAAAGAATTTGTAACAAAACGGTTGTGGGAGTACAGATTCCGGGTTATTTTTTTTATAAAGTATGAATATAGGATAGCACTAGATATATGGAGAGAAGGGGGGGTGTTAAAGGGACACTATAGACACCAGAAACCCTACAGCTTAATGTTGTGGCTTTGAAACATATAGCATGTCCATGCAGGCTGAGCAGTGTTAACGCTGACTTTACTCAGAAACTGCAGTGTTTACAGTGCTGCCTAACTTCCTGGATTCGGTCCTGCAAAGATTACAGGACCGACGTCCAGCTTCTCCACGTTCTGCAGGGAGATGCTGAAAGCTTAGCTTAGAGATGTACTAACTCAGTGCAGCTCTATGGGGAGATGCTGATTGGCACAGCACACAGTAATTTGCCACATATGCACAATGCTTCC